GACAGGGGGCAGCGCCCAAACCCCCTGATAGTCCTTCAGCTCTGTGTTTGACAGGGGGTGGCGCCCCAACACCCCCCTCCCCCTCCACGGGCCCTGCTCTGTGTGTGATGGGGTAGAGCCATAACCTCCACATTGGCCCTGCCCTGAGTGTGACAGTGGCGGCACCCCAACCCCCTGATCCGCCCTGCCCTGAGTGTGACAGGGGGCGGTGCCCCAACTCCCCTATTGGCCTGCTCCGTGCATGACAGCGGGGAGCTCCCCAACGCCCTGATGGGCCCTGCTCTGTGCATGACAGGGTAAGGAGCCCCAACCCCCCTGATGGGCCCTGCTCTGTGCGTGACGGGGTGGCACTGCAACCTCCCCATCGACCCTGCCTTGAGTGTGACGGGGGCGGTGCCCCAACCTCCCAATCGGCCCTACCCTGAGCGTGACTGAGGGTGGCATCGCAACCTCCCAATCTGCCCTGCTCTGTGCATGACGGGGCGGTGCCCCAACTTCCCAATCGGCCCTGCTCTGAGCCCGACCAGGGGCTGCACCTAGGGATTGGGCCTGCCCTCTGCCACCCAGGAGCAGGACGAAGCCAGCAGTTCGTTATCTCCTAAGGGGTCCCAGACTTCGAGAGGGCCCAGGCCAGTCTGAGGGACACCCCTTCCCCCGAGTGCACAAATTTTTGTGCACCGGCCCTCTAGTACTGTAATAAAAGTTATGTTAATGTGATCTCTCTCTTTCCTATCTCTGATAACCAAGACAGCTACTAAGTGAGTACTGGATGGGCATTTTTTTTTTTAAAATATATATTTCTTTATTGATTTCAGAGAGGAAGGAAGAAGGAGAGAGAGATAGAAACATCAATGATGAGAGAGAATCATTGATTGGCTGCCTCCTGCACACCCCCTACTGGGGAACGAGCCCGCAACTCTAGCATGTGCCCTTGGCCGGAATCGAACCTGGGACCCTTCAGTCCGCAGGCTGATGCTCTATCCACTGAGTCAAGCTGGCTAGGGCTAGATGGGCACTTTATGTAGCCTGGCTGACTCATGTCCCATGTGAGATGGAATGGGATGGTGTGAGGTTATATCACACTATTCAAAACAGCACACAATTTAAAATTTATGAATTGTTTATTTCTGAAATTTTCCATTTAATATTTTTGGATCATGGTAGACCATGGGTAACTGAAACCATGAATAGCAAAATTACATATATCGGGGAGCTGCTGTATTGTTTGAATTACATTGTCACTCAAGTTTATTAAAATTGTTTTAAGTATATATGAAGTAATTATAGAAATATTATAGTAGGGATGTTAAATATTTATGTTACTACAGTTGACCCAAGAACAGCATGTGCTTGAATTGAACTGCATGGGTCCACTTACATGTGGGGTTTTTTAAATAAATACTGTAAATGTATTTTCCTTATGATTTTCTTAATAACATCTTTTCTCTAGCTTACTTTATTGTAAGAATACAGTATATAATATATACAACATAAAAATATGTGGTCATCAACTTTGGACAACAGTAGACTATTAGTAGTTAAGTTTTGGGGGCGTCCGTTGTTATACATGGATTATTGACTACTGGAGGTTGGTGCCCCTGACTTCACAAATTGTTCAAGAGTCAACTGTACTTAAATGTCTTTCTTTTTCTCTACCCACTTCTTTAAATTAACTATTTGTTTTTAGTAATTAATATTTAATATGCTTTTCCGCATTTTTCGTTCCAGTTGATATTAGGAGGGGGGAAATCTTTAAACATTATATTGCTTTATATGTGTACATTTTCTTTGTCACCTAATTTTTTCTTTTTTTAAAAAAATTTTATTTATGTATTTATTTTTAATCCTCCCCGAGAATATTTTTCCATTGATTTTTTAGAGAGAATGGAAGAGAGAGGGAAAGACAGAGAAATACTGATGTGAAAGAAGCGCATCGATTGGTTGTCTCATGCACATGCCCCAATCAGGGCCTAGGCCGGGGAGGAGCCTGCAACCAAGTAACGTGCCCTTGACCAGAATCAAACCCGGGATCGTTTGGTCCAGAAGCTGATGCTGTATCCACTAAGCCAAACTGGCTAGGGCACTCTAATTTTTTCAGAACACCTTAATTTTTTCAAAAGTAGTCCTGAATAAGTCACAAATATGGCACTTTGGAGTCTCAATATGGTACAAGAGGAAGGTAATGTCAGACCTAATACCGCAGTTTTAGATGCAGAAGGTAAGGTGCATAGGACTTCAAGAGATACTGCAGCTGCACTTTGACAGAATTAAGACAAGACTCCAAAATACCTGATGACCAAATATTTTTTAAAAATCAGGTTTTATGAGCTTGTTATTTATAATTGAGAACACAAATTTTTAATGAAGATATTTCCTAAAATCTTTCCTTTGAATGAATGTTTTAGATTATAGAAGACAGTATAAAGCACAAACTGTATACTTCTCTATCTGGCTTGTGTATAAATACATCTCATTTAAAGAAAAATTATATTTGGGCCCTGGCTGGCGTGGCTTAGTTGGTTGAGCATCATCCAGTGCACTAAGAGGTCAACAGCTCGATGCCCAGTGGAGGACCTGCAGGAAGCAGCTGATTGGTGTTTCTCTTTCTCCCTCGCTCTTCCTCTCTCAAATTAATGAAAACATATTAAAAATTATATTTGGCATGCTTTTGGTATAGTGGTGTTGAAAATAATACTTGTACCTTTAGAAATACTGAATAAGCTCAGAATTGACTGACTCTTAAAATTTTTTTCAGAGAAATAACCATAAGATAAATGCTTCATACCCAACCCAAGCCCCTGAGTACTAAAGAAGGTTCTACCCTTACTGTCATTGGGTCCTCAATAAAACTTTGATGTTTATTAAATGAAATATTAAATTCTCTTTTCCTTTTGCCAGTGGAAAGCAAAACGATTTCATTTGGATTTGGAAACAACACAGGACTGTCATTTGCAGACTTGGCTTCCAGTAATTCTGGGGATTTTGCTTTTGGTTCCAAAGGTAAGATAAGACCGAGGGATTTTAATGATCAAGTTACAGAATTTAAACACAGCTGAAAGAACTAGTCCTTTGCATAGTGTTGTGATTAACTTGGCTATTTCTTCCCCTTCCCTATTCTGTTCGTTTAGAATTTTTAATATAAGGAAAGGCTTCTATATTTTGCTGTTATTTATTTATTTTAAAAATCTTTATTGTTGAAAGTATTATGTATGTCCCCTTTTTTCTCCCATTGACACCTCTACCAGCCCCGACCCACACCCAGGTCTTCACCATCCTATTGTCTGTGTGCATGGGTTATGCATATATGCATACAAGTTCTTTGGTTGATCATTTCCCACTCACCCACCCTCCCCTGCCTTCCCTCTGAGACTCCACAATCTGTTCTGTGATTCGATGTCTCTGGATCTATTTTGTTCATTAGATTCCATGCATGGGTGAGATCATGTGATACTTGTCTTTCTCTGAGTGGCTTATTTCACTTAGCATAATACTCTCTAGGTCCCTCCATGCAGTCTCAAAGGGTAAGAGATCCCTCTTTTTTTATGACTGCATAGTACTAGTATTCCATGGTATAAACATTGTATACCACAACACTTCTATCCACTCATCTACAGATGGGCACTTGGGCTGTTTCCAGATCTTAGCTATTGTAAATTGTGCTGCTATGAACATAGGGATGCATATATTCTGTCGGATTGGTGTGTCAGATTTCTTAGTATCTATTTCTAGAAGTGGGATCACTGGGTCAAATGGCAGTTCCATATTTAATTTTTTAAGCTCCATAATGGCTGTACCAGTCTGCATTCCCACCAGTACTGTACGAGGGGTCCCTTTCTCCACATCCTCGTCAGCATTGGTTATTTGTTGATTTGTTGATGGTAGCCATTCTGACAGGTTTGAGGTGATACCTAATAGTTGTTTTATTTTTATTTTTTTAAAAAAATATATTTTATTGATCTTTTACAGAGAGGAGGGAGAAGGACAGAGAGTCAGAAACATAGATGAGAGAGAAACATCGATCAGCTGCCTCCTGCACACCCGCCCCTGGGGATGTGCCCGCAACCAAAGCATATGCCCTTGGCCGGAATCGAACCTGGGACCCTTCAGTCCGCAGGCCGATGCTCTATCCACTGAGCCAATCCATCCAGGGCTCATTGTTGTTTTAATTTGTATTTCTCTGATGATCAGTAACTTTGAGCATTTTTTCACATGTCTTTTATCCATTTGTTTGTCTACTTTGGGGAAATGTCTATTTAGGTCCTTTGTACATTTTTTAATTGGATTGTTTGTCTTCCTTTTGTTAAGTTGTATGAGTTCATTATATATTTTGGATATTAACCTTTTTTCAGATGTATCATTGCCAAATATGTTCTCCCATACAGTAGGCTCTCCTTTTCTTTTTGTTGATGGTTTCTTTTGCTGTGCAGCTTTCTATTTTCATGTAGTCCTATTTGTTTATTTTCTCCTTAGTTTCCTTTGCCCTAGGACAGTGGTTCTCAACCTTCTGGCCCTTTAAATACAGTTCCTCATGTTGTGACCCAACCATAAAATTATCTTCGTTGCTACTTCATAACTGTAATTAAAATTATTTTCGTTGCTACTTCATAACTGTAATTTTGCTACTGTTATGAATCGTAATGTAAATATCTGATATGCAGGATGGTCTTAAGCGACCCCTGTGAGAAAGGGTCATTCGACCCCCAGGTTGAGAACCGCTGCCCTAGGAGATGTATCGGTAAACATACTGCTATGAGAAATGTCAGATTTTGCCGCCAATGGTTTCTAAGATTTTTATTATTTCACAACTTAAATTTAACTCTTATACATTTTGAGTTTATTCTTTTGTTGGGGCATCTAATTTCACTTTTTGCATGGACTTGTCCAATTTTCCCAACACCATTTCTTGAAGAGACTGTCTCGGTCCCATTGTACGTTCTTGCCTCCTTTGTCAAATACTAATTGAGTGTAATGGCTTGGGTCGATTGCTGGGGTTTCTGTTCTGTTCTTCTTCCAGTACCAAGCTGTTTCAATTATGTTGGGTTTGTAGTATAACTTGATATCTGGTATTACGAGTCCTTCAATTTGTTCTTTTTTCTCAAGATTTCTGCAGCTATTTGGGGTCTTTTTTGGTTCCATATAATATTTTGGAGTATTTGTTCTAGATCTGTGAAATATGCTGTTGGTATTTTAATAGGGTTTGCATTGAATCTCTGACTTCCTTTGGGTATATTCTTCCATTTGCTTATATTTACTTCTATCTCTTTTTCAATGTCTGTGCCGCATCCAGCACGGGCAAGTTCGGTGAGCCTGAGGAGGGGCGGTGAACGATTAAAGAAGACAGACAAGAGAATACAGCTGGGGCTGGGTGGAATGCTGCTTCTCTGATGGAGAGACAGTGCCAAGCCTGCAAGTTGAAGCTTAATTTTATAGTCAGAACACACAAAGCAGAACAAGGGTATATAATGTTTACAATGTTCTTGTGAGTTTCACCTTGTTTTGGCAGCACTTGCTGCACCTCCCACAGCCCATTACCTAGGAAGGAACTAGGGAGGCTATGAGGGTAAGTTTAATTATGCTAAGAGGGCTCTGTCCTCCAAGCTGGGACTTGTTTGTGGCCCTGCCACAGGTCAGTATGAGGCTTAACTCCCTACAGACATCCTGTACTCTTCCAGGTACAAGTCTTTTACCTCTTTGGTTAAGTTTATTCCTCATTATCTTAATTTTTTTTTTAAATCATAAATGGGATTATTTGTTTAGTTTCTCTTTCTGAGAATTCATTATTGTTGTAGTAAAAAAGCCTTCGGTTTTTGGGTGTTGATTTTGTATCCTGCTATATTGCCAAATTCATTTATTAAATCTAGTATTTTTTTGGTGGAGCCTTTAGAGTTTTCTATGTACAATATCTGCGAATAATGAGAGTTTTACTTCCTCCTTTTCCATTTGGATGTCTTTTATTTCTTCTTCTTGTTTGATAGCTGTGGGTAGGAATTCTAGTACTATGTTGAATAAGAGTGGTGAAAGTGGGCATCCCTGTCTTGTTCCTGTTCTTAGGGGAAATGGTTTTAGTTTTTGCCTATTGAGAATGATATTGGCTGAAGGTCTGTCATTTATGGCCTTTGTTATGTTGAGATAGGCTCCCTCTGAATTCCCACTTTGCTCAGTTTTTATCAAAAATGGGTGTTGAGCCGAAACCGGTTTGGCTCAGTGGATAGAGCGTCAGCCTGCGGACTGAGAGGTCCCGGGTTCGATTCCGGTCAAGGGCATGTACCTGGGTTGCGGGCACATCCCCGGTGGTGGATGTGCAGGAGGCAGCTGATCGATGTTTCTAACTCTCTATCTCTCTCCCTTCCTCTCTGTAAAAACTCAATAAAATATATTTTAAAAAAAAAATGGGTGTTGAATTTTGTAGAGTGCTTTTTCTGCATCTATTGATATGATCATGTGGTTCTTTTCTTTTAGTTTGTTTATGTGAGGTGTATCACATTTATGGATTTGTGAGTATTGTACCAGCTTTGTATCCCTGGAATAAATCCCACTTGGTTGTGGTGTATGATCTTTTTAATATATTGCTGGATCTGATTTGCAAATATTTTTTAAAATATATTGTATTGATTTCTGAGAGGAAGGGAGAGGAAGAGAAAGAAACATCAATGATGAGAGAGAATCATTGATCGGCTGCCTCTTGCACACCCCACACTGGGGATCAAGCCTGCAACCCAGGCAGGTGCCCTGACTGGGAATCGAACTGTGACCTCCTGGTTCATGGGTCAATGCTCAGCCATTGAGTTATGCCTGCTGGGCTTGCTAATATTTTGTTACGGATTTTAGCATTAGTGTTCATCAGGGTTATTGGCCTGTAATTCTCTTTCTTTGTAGTGTCTTTATCTGGTTTTGGAATTAGGTTAATGCTGGCCTCATAAAAAGAGATTGGACGTGTTCCTTCTTGGATTTTTTTTTAATAGGTCGAGGAGTATAGATGTTCGTCTTTGAATGTTTGGTAAAATTCCCTGTGAAGCCATCTAGACCCGGGCTTTTGTTTACTGCTTCTATTTCCTCAGTTGTTACTGGCTTACTCAGGGTTTCTCATTCTTCCTGATCCAGTTTTGGGAGATTTTATTTTTCTAGGAATTTGTGCATTTCATCCACATTGTCCAGTTTTTTGGCATACCATATAGTTGTTCATAGTGCCGTATTTTTTTGTGTATAAGACCCTATTTTTTTCTAAAATCGTTAGACTGAAAATCGAGGGGTGTCTTATACATGGAAGTCAGACGAGGAGGGAGTCGTGCAGGTGTGTATCTGCCCATATCTTGTCAAAGAGGCTTCTTCCTCATCAGCCTTATTGTTACTGACGTCAGCTGATGCTGTAATTTGAGATCGAGGTAGAGAGTGGGCAGATGCAACAGGGACTGAGCATTCTGAGCCAATAAAGATGTCAAAAAATAAAAAGATAAATACTGGTAAGCGATTGTCTTACTCTGCAAAATTCAAACTGAATGTAATCAGCTATGCAAAAGAGCGTGGAAACAGAACCGCAGAGACAATTTGGACCTCTTCCCACTGAGTCTATGATCAGACAGTGGAGAAAACAGGAAGAACAACTCCGTAGGATGCCAAAAAAGAAGAAGGCCTTAAGAGGAAAACCAGCAAAATGTTTAAAATATTGATTTCTTTATTTTTGGTTGGAAAAGTATACATGGAAAAATATTTATAATCGTTTATTTCTGGGGTGTCAGTTGTTACTTCACACCACTTTCATTTCTGATTTTATTTATTTGGGTCCTCTGTTTCTTGCTGAGTCTGGCTAACAGTTGATCAATCTTTTTTATCTTTAATAGAACCAACTCTTGGTTTTATTAATGTTTTTATATTATTATTATTATTTTTAGTCTCTATGTCATTTATTTCTTCTCTAGTCATTATTATTTAGTTCCTGCTAGTTACTCTGGGCTTTTATTGTTCTTCTCTTTCTAATTCTTTAAGTTGTAGGGTTAAATAGT